CAAAGAAAACTTGTTAAAACTAATTCAAATCCTGGTTTAAACAAAAATAAGTATCACTAAAACCAAAGAAAGCTGGTTAAAACTAATCCAAACCCTGGTTTAAACCGATATTGACCCTCTAAATCCAAAGAAACCTGGTTCTAAACCCATCCAAATTCTGTTTTAAACTAAAAAAGTCACACAAAACCCAAAGAAAACTGGTTTAAAATTAACCTAAATCCTGGTTTAAACTAAACTTGACACACTAAACCCAATGAAAACTGGTTTAAAATGAATCCAAAACCTGCTTTAAACCAAAATTGACCCAGTAAACCCGGAGTAAACCCTGGTTTAAATAGCTAAAGCTGGTTTTAAACCATGGTTTACACTCAAAAAGTCACATTAAATTAAATATTGACCCATCTAAACCCAAAGTAAACTGTTTTAAAAACAATATATACCATGGTTTGAACCGATATTTACCCCCTAAACCCAGAGAAACCTGGACTAAATCCTGGTTTAAATGGCTACAGCCGGTGTAAATCCTGGTTTAGCTAAGCTTGACCCTGGGTAAGCCCCCCCCCCGGTCCCTACCGTCCCGGCAGGTGGTGCGGTCCTTTTGGTTTAAACTAAAATTGACCCACTAAACCCAAAGAAAACTGGTTGAAAATTAATCCAAACTTTGGTTTGAACCCAGTAAACCCAGAGAAATCCGGACTAAACCCAGGTTTAAATGGCTACAGGCCGGGTTAGGGTTAGGAGTAAGTCGTTGTTTAAACTAAAATTGACCCGGTGTAAACCCTAAATACCCAGTAAACCCAGTGTAACCCCCCCCCCCGGTCCCTACCGTCCCGGCAGGTGGTCTGGTCCTCCAGCAGCTGGACGCCGGTGGGGCAGGTTAAACCCTGGTTTAAATAGCTAAAGCTGGTGTAAACCCTGGTTTAAACTAAAATTGACACAGTAAACCCCAAAAAAGCTGGTTTAAAATTAACCTAAATCCTAGTATAAACTAAATTTGACCCACTAAACCCAAAGAAAACTGGTTCCAAATTAACCCAAACCCTGGTTTAAACTAAACTTGACACACTAAACCCAAAGAAAACTGGTTTAAAATGAACCTAAACCCTGGTTTAAACAAAAAATGACACACTAAACCCAGAGAAACCCGGTGTAAACCCAGGTTTAAATAGCTAGAGCTGGTTTTAAACCCTGGTTTAGCCTAAAATTGACCCTCTAAACCCAGAGAAACCCGGTGTAAACCCAGGTT